ACATTCTGGCTTTTGGGATGGATATAGGTTGCCTCCACAATGCAGGTTTTGTCAAGATGAAATACTGTTGACATAAGCATTGCAGGTGCTGGGACTAGAGCTCCCAGAATTCCCAGCAGGCTTGCCAAATAACCAAGAACCACACTGTTTGGAAATGTTCATAAATAACAGGATAATCCAAAAAAGTCTCCCCATTTTAGCACAGAACTTGGCAATTTCAGATGATCCATCAACATTCAGCTTCTTAGTCAGACGAGGTGCAGCAAAATCTATCAATCTTGGTATGACTTCTAAAAGTCTTCTTTGGAGATATCAATGGACAGTACATCATCTTCCTTCTCAAGTATGACTAATGGTTTAATAATCCTAAGATTATTAAATGGGATGACAATACCATACATTTCCCTGCCACTTTGTTTCTTCTAAAGAGAATTTGGAACTCCATTGTGTTTGCCAATCATTATCGAGACACTGAAAGCCATACAGTTTTTTAGATTGAATCCTGAATCAGATATATTTTTCAATGGCCTTTGGAATATTTTCAGCATCTGCATAGTTTACTATGGGCATGTCCAGAAAGCGAATCCAAACTGGATCTTGAGAAGGTGACAAATATTGGCTATCCTTATCAGAAGAATGAACTGTATGAAAAGGGTTTTTCTTAATCACCAGAGCTTGTGATCATTCCTTTTAGATAGCTCTCGTGCTCTCTTTTTTGACATAACGAATAAGACAACTGGCGTTTATGCATTTTATGCATATTTCTCAATTATTTTACTATCTGGAAACATTCTGCCCATCACTTCACTGAGACTGTCATTCACAGTGACTCACATTTTTTTTCCAAATTGTACAAATTGTAAAATCTTTTATAAAATTAATTGTCCTGTTTACTACAGGATTAGAGACTGGAGCAAGAGTTAATCAGCACTTGGAAAGATCTGAAACTATTCTAACTTTCTGAATTTGTCTGAGAGTCCCCCTCTGCCGCTTTACATCATGCCTTCCATGAGGGCATATCAAAATATTGTTTTGGATAAGAAAGCTGCTAATTAAATTTTAAATTGACATTATAAATAGACAAACCAAACTGTAATGAAAGCAGGGTGCCTTTTTCATCCATTATTTAGTAAAGGAGTGGCTTCAGTTGACTATCAGATCTTCCTCCAAGCAAGCAAGCAAGCAAGATTCATAAAACAATCAGCTCCCCTTAATCTATATTATCTTGTGCCTTCTAGTCCCTTAAGGCTGTAACATTTCTCTTACATGCTGGGCACTCACATTCCTTCTCTCTCCTGCCTTTACTCTAAGGGATCCACCTGTGACAAGAGGGCCCTGCAGCTTTGTCATGGATGCAGAAAAGGAGCTGCATTCTTGGACATGCAACTGCAGTTTACTTCCCTGATGCAGCCTCTAAAACCTATGACTAGCCTTCTTTGTCAGGATGGAAAGTCAGAAGAGTAATTTGGATTAGAGATGGAATCACAGAAGTAGAGAAGCACATAGCTACCAACATTGCAAATCACATCAAGGATTAGCCAGGATGGAGGCCTGAAAAATGAGGCAGCTTCAGCTAAATCAGGCTTGGGCCCCAACTGGGAACTATTTCATCCCATTTGGAAAGTGTTGAATCCAATAAAACTTTGTTTTTTCTTATGAGCAGAACTGTAACCATTTGTGCTCCTCCAAATCTAATTTTCTTCAAAAGAGGCCTGAAATTATATTAATTAGTAAAGGGCTTACACTAATAACTAAATTGCCCATTAGCGGTATTTGATGGGGATACCCAAGACAGAGTTTAACCTGTGGG